GCGACCAGGCCTTGCAGACAGCACCCCGCCCCCCTCCAACCCAACCTGTTGCTTCCCATAGCGATCCTGACAGGACCGGCTAGACCGTCCCCCTTAGGGTTTCCGAGGCAGCAATCTCTTATGGGAGCAGGCTTGCTCCCCCCTAAGTTAGCAGCCACCGCACTTAAGGGCGCTTTAACCGTTGCGTCACTAGCTCTCTTTCTGCAGAGAGAAGCTAACGTTCCACGCGCCCTCGCGGCGTGTTGCCTGGTTCAAACCGGAATTTTCTTCCAGCAATCAATCCAGAATGCCTGCGTTCCAACCTTTATACACTAGTTTTTAAAAACTGCCTGAAGACTTTGGCCGGGCCGTTTGTCTTTCCCGAGCGTCCACGTCTTTGCTGATTAACCTCCGCCTTGGTCGTCTGTGGTCGTCACTTAATCTCCTCCCTTTCTTATGTCCCTCCTCCTATTGCAGCTGCAGCGGCTGGGGGCAAGTTTGACCTTTGACCTGGTACCGTCTGCCAAGAACTGGGCCAGGTTTGGTGCTGCCGAGAGTAGGAGGGAGATAGGCGGCAGAGGGACTTTCTCATTTCCAGAATTGTGACCCCTGTTCCAGGCCGGCTGCGCTTCAGTGAAGTCTGTTGTGTAGTTGGTGACTGGGATACTGTAAAACTTGCATTTCGTTTATTTCTGAAGATGCACCACCCCAGAATCAAGATTTTAACTGGGCTGATTATATTCGAAGCATTTCAACTCCTTAGCAACTTAGTTGCTAGACAAAGGGTTGCTTTACTAAGTTTTCTTGAGGGAGAGCCCTTAAATTCTGCCCTCTTAGTCATGTGAGTTTAATTTTTCAGTATCTGTTTCCAACCAAGGGCTCACTTTTATGCTTCTTTTTTTAAAAAATAATACCTAATTTTATTGGGGGCTCTTACATTAATCCATGCATCAATCGTATCAAGCACTTGTGTACATATGCTGCCATCATCATTTCCTTTCTACATAAGCCCTTGGTATCAGCTCCTTTTTGCCCCTTCTCCCTCCCTTGTTAGTTTTTGATAATGTATAAATTATTTTCATATTTTACACCATCCTCCGCTGTTTCTGTTTTTTAACGCATGTTTCTGTTTTTCATACCCTGCAGGGGTGGGGAGTGGGGAGTGGGGGTTATATGTCGATCATTACCATCAGTTTCCCCTTTCTCCCCCTACCTTCCCCCTGTCCTCATGGTATCGCTACTCAATATTAGTCCTGAGGGGTTTATCTGTCCTGGATTCTGTATGTCAAGAGCTTTATCTGTAGCAGTGTACATGCTCCAGTCTAACCCGATTTGTAAGGTAGAACAGGGGTCATGATAGTTGGGGGTGGGCATTAAAGAACTAGAGGAGTGTTGTGTGTTTCATTGGTGCTATACTGCACCCTGCCTGGCTTGTCCTTTTCTTGTGACCCTTCTGTGAGGGGATGTCCAATTGTTTTGGGCTTTGGGTCTCTATTTCGACCCTCTTCATTTACATCAAAATGGTTGTTTGCTTTGGGCCTTCTTTTTTTAATTTAAAGATCATTTTATTGGGGGCTCTTATAACAATCCATACATCAATTGTATCAAGCATATTTGTACATATGTTGCCATTATTATTTTCTAGATACTTTCTATTGAGTGCGTGGTATCAGCTCCGCTTTTTTCCCTCCCTCCCCACCCCCACCTTCATGACACCTTGATAAGTTATCATTATTTGCATGCCTTACACTGACTACTGTGTCTCCCTTCCCCCAGGGTTTCTGTTGTTTGTCCCCCTGGAGGGGGTGTGTGTGTGTGGTTATGTTTTGATTGCAATCCATCCCCCCTTTCTCCCATCCTCCCCTCCTCTCTCCATCTTCCCCCTATGCTTCTGGTATCACTACTCCCATTGTTTTCTCCTGGGATTGTTTATCCTGCCTATCTTATATAGATAGGCAGGAAAACACAACAATACCCAACGAATAGTTCCAAGTCTGCTGACCCTTATGGATGTTTTCCGATTGGCTCTGATGAAGTGCCAAGCCCTGCCCCCCCACCCCAAGTTCAAAGTCTATTTCCAGAATTCCTTGAGGACTTTGTTGCTTTGTGCCCCTTGCTATTCTGTTGCACTCCCTTTGTGTTAAAGCTCTGGTGTGTGGTGTGGTGGGGGTTGGGGGTTCAGACTGGGCACAATTCCCAGGGACAGCACTCAGTGTCAGGTGCTGTCCCTGGTAGCACTGTGGGTCACAGTAAGGGGACGTTGTGTCTTGTGAGGCTGACTCTATGGTCCTTTCTATGCATTGGCTGCTCAGAGTGGGAATGTCATCCTCGAAGCTTGGTCAGGTGGCTTATCTCTCCCCCCTCTCTCCTGTGGTCTGGGCGGACCTGCCACACTCCCCAGACTGTATCTTCAGTGCTGTCTCCCTGGGCCAGGGGGTTGACATAGCTGGGCTAGGGCCCGGCCCTGCAGACTTCTCCGTTAGTCCACTGCTTCATGCCGGTATGGTGCCCTCAGGCCTCTCTCCCTTTTCTGTGAGACATAAACAGGACCCTCCCCGGTGGATAAGTGCTTGTTACCCACAATGCTTTTGTCTTTCCCTCACTTTTTTTAAACTTAATTTAATTTATTTTTTAATCATTTTATTGGAGGCTCATACAACTCTTATCACAATCCATACATACCTCAATTGTGTAAAGCATATTTGCATTCATTGCCCTCATCCTCAAAACATTTGCTCTCCACTTATTTCCCTCACTTTTTTTGTGTGCCCCCCCCTTTTCCCCTTATTTATGTTGGTGTGCTGTATTGCATTATTGGGCTTGGTCTGCCCGCTGTGCCTCTCCCTCAGTCTGTAAATTATATATTAAATAGTTTTTTCTCCTGATCTCACTGTGTTGATTGAACCTATCTCAGTGGATTCACCTTTTACCTTTTAAATATGTAAAACTTTTCTTTTACTATTACAGGCAACACCTAGGTTATGAATAAAATCTGTTCTTAACTATGCCTTTAGGTCAAATTTGTAGATAAGTCAGAACCAGGTGCACGTAGTTCTTGTTTGGCCTTACTTCAGTGCAGTAAAGAAGGAGCCCTGGTCGGGGAGAGGACAAGGTCAGCAGTTTAAACCACCGGCGCCAGAAAGAAGAGGCTCTTTACTCCTCTCTAGAGTTACGCTCTCAGAAACCCACCAGGTGCTTCTCTCCTTCCCTAAGGGCCCCGATGAGTCAGAATTGATCACCATTATGTATGCTATACATAAGGTGGAGAAAGAAGCCGCGTTCACGTACAAACTGCGGACATTATGCTCGAGAGAAAGTTTAGCTTGAGAGCACTTTTATCCCTCTATTTCACCAAAATCTCCCAACACTGTGTGGGTCAAACTTGTGGGCAGGAATGAAATGTCTGTTTAGAAACACACAGCATCTGAGGAGGCTTGATGGTGCAATCATTAAAGGAACTCTCACCCGGGGCTCCATGGGGGAAAGGCCCTGTGGTCTGCTCCCATGAAGATTACAGCCTGGGAAAGCCCTCAAGGGGAATTCTACTCCCGTCTCATGGGTTCACTCACCTCCAGGCATCTAACAACAGCAACAGTAACAACACACAGTCTCTCAGTAACAAAGGATCAGAGCCTAAGCTTGCACTGACAATAAAGGCTATGGGTCCAGATGATAGCGTGGATGGTGTGCTTGAAGACGTCAGTGGGAGAAGATTAGAAACTGAGTAGAAAGCATTACCTCAAGACTGGTGTAGTACTGCATTCATTATGGACCTTGAAAAAAAAGGGGTTACATTGCATGAAAAGGCACAGAGGTTGCTTTTGGAATTGTAGGCACACACTTCATTTTATTGCACTTGGCTGTATTGTGATTTGTAGACAGTTTGAGTTTTGTGTGTGTGTGTGTGTGTATGGATGTTTTACCAATTGAAAGTGTCTGGCAAACCTGTTTCAAGCAGCTGTACCAGCTCATCTTTTAACATCACGTGGTCACTTTGTGTATCTGCCACATTTTGCTGTTTCTTAGACTATTTCAAAATTTTCATAACGATAGCATATACTTGGTAGACTTACAGTATAGTGTAGACTTACAGTGTAGTGTAAACATAACTTTCATATGCAGTGTACATAAAACAGTGCAGAGGGCACCCATATTGGACCTCCTCTGGTTACCCGATTGCCACTAAGCAGAGGTCAGACATGCCTCCACCCGTCATGCTCCGTTTTCTATTAGGACACCAACCATTCCTCCCATGGCACTCAATTTGTATGCTGGGTTTGAAAATTCATAACAATGGCTACTCGGAAGCCATCGACAATACAATTACAAGGGTTTATTAGGAGAGTACACAGGTTACCACATGTCGGGATCAGGAAGCAGTAAGGTGACAGTCATTGGTCCAGAGCAGCACTTCTCAGTGAGCAGCCAAGTCTTTCCAGGCCTCAGCCTCTCCGCTCTGCTTACAGGCTGATAGTCTTGGTGCTGTGCCTCGGCTTGGTCTCATGGTCTCCATGCCACAGCCTCTGGTGCTCTGGTTCACATCAGACAGATCTCAAACGTGCTCCAGTAGCAAACGTGGTCCACTAGCGACTCTTCTGATGGTCCTGGCAGTTTTTTGTGTATCTGAGATGGCTCTAATACACAGAGGAATGGCTGTGATGGAGGTGTGGTTTGTGTCTTTCCGAAGAACCATACTACTCTTAAAACTAAGAGTGATAACTTAAGTCACCCTCTACCAAAGTGGAGATTTAATCCTGCTCATTAGCATAGCCAAGAATGCCCTCTAACATGGTATTAAAATCACAGGCATAGAGCTAGAATTTATAGAGCATCACAAAAGGGATTATGCTGAGTTTAACACCGTTCATGTACTAACAGGAGTTCTGGTGGCATTGTTGGTTTGATTTTGGGCCACAGTTGGCAGTTCAAAACCACCAGCAACCCCGAGGGTGAAAGATGAGGCTGAGACCAGTAACGATTTAAATTCTTGTTGTTGTTAGGTGCCATCTAATCGGTTTTGACCCATAGCGACCCTGTGAACAACAGAATGCAACACTGCGTTGGTTCTGCGCCATCTTCACAATTGGTCCTAAGCCTGAGCGCATTGATGCAGCCACTGTGTCCATCCATCTCATCGAAGGTCTCCCACTTTTTCACTGTCCCTCCACTTTACCAAACATGACGCCCTTCTCCATGGACTGGTCTCTCCTGACAGTATGTCCAAAGTATGCAAGACGAAGTCTTGCTGCTAAGGAGCAGTACTCTGGCCTTAGTTTCTCTGATACAGGTCCGTTTGTCCTTTTAGCAGTCCATGGTACTTTGAAAATTCTTCTGTCTCACAATCCAAATGCATCTATTCTTCTACAATCTTCCTTATTCACTGCCCAACATTTATATGCATGTGATGCAATGGAGACTACCGTGGTTTGGGTCAGGTGCACCTTAGTTCTCAAAGTAACAGCCTTGCTCTTCAAGGCTCTAAAGAGGTTTGTGCAGCCGATTTACTTCCTATAATATGTCTTTTGATCTTTTGACTGCTGCTTCCACGATCACTGAATGTGGACCAAAGTAAGACAAACCCTTGACAACTTCAACTCTTTCCCAATTTACGAGATTACTTTCTCCTCATGAGGTTACTTCTTAGTCCGTTGTGAGGATTTGGGTCTTCCTTACGTTGAGTTGTAATTACATTGAGATTATGGCTAGAAGGGCCATAATACTTGTCTGCATCTCAACCAGGAAACCAAATAGGCAATAGTCACTTTAAAGCCGTGGTTGGAAGTGAACCTACAGTGTCTCCAATGTCTCCACACCTGTGTAGGTGTGGTATTGGAATGAGAAGACAGTGAGGAGAAACGCTTGGCATGGATGTCAACAGGAGCAGCCGTCTATCCTTACATGGCAGGGTTTAAGATGGGCATCAAGCAGGGGAGGTACAGGATCAGGAAAAAGGTGAATTGACACAGTGGCTGCAGCCTAGCAACGGTTGGGAGAATGGCCAGGGCTTCGTTCTGTTCCACACAGGCTCGCTGAGAGGCGTTATACCCCAACTGCAACAATAACGGCCACTTCAGCCGACAGCCATCATCGTGTGTAGAGGAGCCACACTTTCCTGCAAAGCATCTCTGTGTATCTCCCTCCGCTTGAGGGTTGGACTTGGCAGTTTTGATTCTTTATGCTCCTCTACTGAGAACTCTTGGCAGAGCCCATCAGAGCAGTGGTTCTCAACCTGTGGGTCGCGACCCCTTTGAGGGCCAATCAACCCGTTTGCAGGGGTCGCCCGATTCATAACAGTAGCAAAATGACAGTTATGAATTAGCAACGAAAATAATGTTATAGTTGGGGGTCACCACCACACGAGGAACTGTATGAAAAGGTGGCAGCATGAGGAAGGCTGAGAACCACTGCTCTATAGGGTCGCTGTGCCTTAGTGTCTCCTCCATGGCATTGAGTAAACATGGCCACTTTGCTGATCGAATGCCACTGACCAGTTAGTTGTGTTTAGAATGCAGATTGCTCCAACTCAGGGTAATGGTTGTGAGTTTGGGCCAGAGCTGGACGTGGCCCAAATGCTGAGTATGTTAACCTGGGCGAGGTGCCTCAGTTTGCTCATCTCTAAAGTAGGAGTGATACTAGTATTTGTAGGGATGCCGAGGGATTCACTAAATTAAGGCAGGTAAAGCAGGGCCATGGTCAGACCACATGAGCTGGTTGCCTTGCTGATCATTGCTTTTTTTTGTTGTTATCTTCTCTTCCCTTGCCCTTCTATCCCATCCACTCCCATTCCTGACTGCTGTGCCCCTCATGTTGTTGAAAATAGAAAAAAACCACACTCACTGCCATCCAGTCATTACCGACTCAGAGCAACCACATAGGACAGGGGAACTGCCCCTGTGAGTTTCGAGACTGTAACTCTCTCTAGGAGTGGAAAGCCCCGTCTTTCTCCCACAGAGTGGCTGGTGGATAGCAGCCCAATTTGTAACCACTACGCCAGCAGGGCTGCCCATCTTGTTTAGGTGGAGAATATTTGACTTGCTTTTTTGTTCCATCTTGTTTAATTTGGAATAGATGATGCATTTGGTCCAGGGACCTCCAAAAAGAGCAGGCACATTTTAAGGCACAGTAAGGCCTTAAAAATACAACTGCAGTTCATGCTGCTAATTCACATTTAGCTTCACTCCCTCAAACACTTTCTAAAGTAGTTTTAATTTAAGTGAGTTGCAGTTCTGGACACAATTTTAATTTTTAAAACTGCTTTGGTCATGCTGAGCCAGGGTGGAGGTAAAAATTTAAGCAAATGGGGTCAGGGTCACTCTGAATTCGTATCGACGTGATGGCAGTGAGTTTGGTTTGAGGCCATTTGTGCATTTATATGATTATTCATTTATCAAGGAATTCCATTGTCTTAGACCAGCGCAGTCCTGCTTTATTACGGTTGAGCATAGGTCATTTGTATGTTTGTATTACCCAAGTGGATCTACTTTGCCTGTCATTTCTTATTTGTTTTAAATAAATAAAAACCTCTGAGGCTGCAGGTTAATGTTTAAGTCAGGTTGACTTGTTTGTATGTGTGCTTGCCTGTTACACACGTCTGAGTTGGTTCTGATGGCCACTTTATCCTAGGCCGGATAGATGTGTAGGCTGGCACCGAAGCTTAGAGCTCTTAACCACGGGGAAAGCTTTTTGTCGTATAAAGGAGAAAGAAGGAAGGACTGTTCTTTCTCCCTGGTCTTCAGAATGAATGCTTGATAAACATTGCCTCGTCTCCTTTTTTCCCCTATGGAGATCCCAGAGAATACTCCTCAAGTCACTGGTGAGCAGGGTGTGCGCTCCCTGGGAGGGGTATTCCCGAGCCGTGAGTTCTCGGAGATCTCTGGTAAATTTAGTGCACTACACCTTTGTGAGGAAATAAGGAAGTCTGTGTCTTGTAGGGGGGTGTACTTGAGTTTTTCCCTCCGAAAACTATTTTTGTGTGTGTCCCTCTTAAAAAGCAAAAGGTGGATTTCTTCTGGGGAGAGCAGCTTAGGCTGTGGAAACAAAGGGGGGGGGGCATCCTCCACTGTTCCTGTACTGTCGGCTGAGACGTGCTCCTCCGCAGTGGTCAGTGCACTGAGGGCCTGCTTCTCTCTCTGTGGCCGCCGACTTTGTGCCCCTCTACCTTCCCCTGCCCTCCGTTCCATGTTTTCTGATGCTGAATGGAACACTCTGAGCAGAGTTGCTTTTCATTGTTTTGGTTTTGGCTCTCTTCTTTGCCATGTGCTTCGTGAGTTGTGAGCAGAAAATCTGAGAAGTTGGATTACGTGAAGAATGCAGTGTCAGGATTGGAGGAAGACTTACTAACAACCTGCAATCTGCATGTGACACAGCCTTGCCTGCTGAAAGAGGGGAGGACTGGAAGTACATACTGCTTGCAGTCGGCATTACAACTCTGTAAACCAGATTAAAACCCTCACAACTGGACCGTTGGGTAACACCAAGATAAATGGAGGAAAAAGTGCAGTTGTCAAGGATTTTATCTGGCTTGGGTTTACAGTCAGTGCTCCTGGAGGCAGCAGGCAGGAGATCAGAAGAAGAGTTACATCGTGTAAATCTGCTTCACACGACCTCTTTATAAAGTAGTGAAAAGCAAGGATGTTACTGTGAGGACTAAGGTGCCCCTGACCCAAGCTAAGGTGTTTTCCGTTTCCTCACAAGGATGTGAAAGTTGGTCATTGAATAAGGAAGACGATAGAAGAATTGATGCATTTGAATTATGCCGGAGTAGAATATTGAAAGTGTTCTTCAAGTATCCCATGGACTGCTAAAAGGACAAACAAGTCTTGGAAGAAGTCTGGCCATAGTGTTCCTTAGAAGCCAGGATGGTGAGACTTCCACTTGTATTTTGTATATGTTGTTAGGAGAGCCCAGTCTCTGAAGAAGAATATCTTCTTTGATAAAGTGGAGGGGCTGCAAGAAAAGAGAAAGACCCTCAACGAAATGGATTAACACAGTGTCTTCAACAGTAGCCTCAAACATAACAACTGTGAAGCTGACAGGACTGTGCCGTGTTTGTTCTTTTGTACGTAGGGTTGTTATGACTTAGAACCAACTCACGGCACCTAACGGCACCACCACCATGAGTTGATGATTTGTGTTTGCCTGACAAACAGTACGGTGGCCTGGAAGAAGTTTCAGGATCACAGGAGATAGGCTCAGTCACCTTCCTGTGAATATACCATTCAAGCCCACCAGTGGCCCCTTGGTAGAAAAAGGAGGCTGCCTGCACCCATCAAGATTTCCAGTGTCTGGGCTAGCTCTGCTCTTTCCACAAAGGGTCACAATGTTGTCAGAATCTACTCGATGCCAGTGGGGTGGGGCGTGGCGTTTTTATTTCTAGGTATTCCCACTCAAGAGT